GTACAGTTAGTACAGTACCTAGACTTACTGAAGTACAGTTGACAGTTCCGCTTACTGAAGTACAGTTGTCAGTTCCGCTTACTGAAGTACAGTTGTCAGTTCCGCTTACTGAAGTACAGTTGTCAGTTCCCGCTTACTGAAGTACAGTTGTCAGTTCCCGCTTACTGAAGTACAGTTGTCAGTTCCCGCTTACTGAAGTACAGTTGTCAGTTCCCGCTTACTGAAGTACAGTTGTCAGTTCCTGCTTACTGAACTACAGTTGACAGTTCCTGCTTACTGAAGTACAGTTGTCAGTTCCTGCTTACTGAAGTACAGTTGTCAGTTCAGATTGCAACATTATACTCCATCTACATTCGATGTGTTACACCAGATCTATATCCTTGTCCTAGTGATGTGTGTTTATTTATCTATGAGGATAACCACTTAGTGGTGGGTCTAACATGCTTCTTTGCATAAGGATATGAAAAACAAATAATCATTGAACTTTGGGGATCACCTGTAAATTTAAATAAATTTTGGATTCTAGAAACAAGTTTCAAAATACATTAAATCCACAAATGTAGGTTTCTCTGGGACAGTAGGCTGAGGGGTGGAAACTTTGTTCAAATATTATGTTATCAATAAAACTAGTAGTAGAGAATTCTTTAAGTTTTAAAATTTTATCAATTTGAACAGTTATGTAGTTGCAAAATTTCATTTTCATGCATACATTATGTTTGTTGTTTGTATGGTAAAGCAGTTACAAAATTAGTACATATTTCATAGAAGTTTAATCTTTTTTTTGTAATTGATAAGTGAAATTATGTGTTTGTTAATATTTTTCAGTAATTAGTTTTTATCCAATCTAAAGTTAGTACGGAATATGTAAATTTGATGTTACTGTCACATTGTACCACTTAACAAAGATTTAAAATAGTAGTTTTTACATAATTACAAGCATTATATATATTTTTCCAACATAACTGTCCTTAGGGTTACTTTTACTTTTTGAATCTAGGCTTATGTTGTTTTGGTTCGACAACTTGGAGGCTTGTGGTTGGAAAGGAACCTGAATACCCTCTTAGTCCACCTTCTGGAGCTTGTTTCTAGTCCTAGAGCAGCAACCTCACATGTTGATGCCGTTTACAGCCGCAAATGCATTGCCTTCATCTTGCGTTCAGTTTTGGGCAAGATGCTAGGAGAAAAGGCTCAGGCAGCAGCTTGCAAAGACTTAGTACAGATTATTGCGAAGTATTCAAATGCAGGTAACTTTTTACCCTGAATTATGTATAGTAAATATTGGGTGTAACCAAAGTTTACTCTAAAGAAAAAAAAGAAGAAGACTTATTTGATATTTATGTATAGAAGCCAAATGTCATAAATTTAAAAACAGGAATATTATTCTTTGTAAACCTTGAAGAAAACTGACATTTCTACTTTAAGTACAGTGAAATTTATCAAGTTCCTTATTTTCACCACTTTAGCCATGGTTTTTGAATATTATGGTAATTAATGTCATTTTTAGATGCTGCAGCAGAGTCCTCTGGCAGTAAAGAAGGCTTACAAGAAGCAGCCCTTGCTCAACATGTTCTCGTGTGTGCTCTGCAAGAGCTTGGTTGTTTAATATCTAGTCTTGGAACCACAGCCTCTTCGGTAGTGAATGATTCTTCCTCAGGTAGTCAGCATTCGTATTAATAGGTCTATTTAATAGAAAAAGGTTAAATAGTTTAAATGATTCTTGAAGGATGTATGCCTTATCATGAAAATGTATTTCAATAAAATATTTCTAGTGAAGGAATAATACATTCTTATTAAATAAATATTTTCAGCTTTAGAAATTCAGAATTATATCATCGTTGACTCCCATCATTACCTATGTAGATTGGAACAAAAAATTAACCTAGTAATAAATATTTTAAACTAAATATACCATACTGACTTGTACTGGTTAGAATGTACTGATTCATCACAGTTGGGTAAAGCATTCTTTTGTTTGAAAACATTTTTCAGTTCTTTAACAGAAAGTTTTAATCATAAAGGTTCCCAACTTTACTGTAAAGATAATTGTTACCTGCAATTGATGGAACTAAATATAAATTATTGTTTTTGGCTATTTCATGTATGTTTTTTAAACAAATGCTTCAATGTTTCAGGTATCCAAAAATTTAATAAGATTTTTAAATCTAGGTGTAAAAAAACACAGTATCTTTTACAATGTTTCTTGCAGAGTGTATGATATTGTGAGAATAAACAAAGTTAAGGAAGCCTTATAACCCATCAACACAGAACCAAAAGAACTATGAAAATTAGAAATTTTCATTTGAATTAAGAAATCTTGTTCCTTGTATGTCAAGTGTATAATAATTTCGGTATCTTATCATTTATGGGAACCTTTGTAAGTAATGCAAGTGATTTTATCTAAATTTGGTCGAGGACATTTGAGAAATATAATTATAAAAATATTTACTGAATAATTATGAGTAAAGAACTTCTGTATTCTAATTTATTTGAACAATTTAATTTTCAAGGTATAATTGAAGCTGTGGTATCAGTTTTAATTCACTCAAGTGCAGCACGACTTGCAGCTGCGTGGTGCTTGAGGTCCATTGCAACAGCTGTATCATCTCAGCTAACTCCATTGCTAGACCGATGTCTAGAGCAACTAGATACCCTTAAAGCGTCACCCGAGGCTATTTGTGGATATTCTGGAGCTTTGTCGGCACTTCTTGGAGCAGCATGTTATACTGCATTAGGCATCCCTCACAGTAAAGGAAAGGTACTTGTACTCTAACCCCAACTGACTTCTTGTTCTTTAACAGCAGCATTAATAGATTTTTTATTCAGTGTTTGTATATATCAGTTGTGAACACTAATCTCATTCATTTATTTAAACTATATCCCGTTTTGTATTGTTATATATAGAAGTTATGTTGACTTGAGATTTTTTAAACTATTTATTTTGAGTTCTTTTTGTAACAGAGTTGCTGAAATGAAGATAAAGTTTGATTGCCAAATTTTTATTATCATATTTAAGAATAATGAATGTACTAGATGCTTGTTATAACATTAGGAAGCTGTTTTTTTCTTTATTTTTGTTTTCATTTAAATGATGAGTAAGACAGTTCTATTAAATTATCCAACAAACATACAAAATATTATATTTAGCCTGCTCAGCCTTTTGTGATAAAGGTTTTAAAAGTATTGCTTCCTCCTGTTAGTATGTTGTTCAGAAAGGAGGAGAGACAAAATCGGTGGCTAAAGGTTTGTATCAGGGTTAATATTTAAGTAGTATCTCATTGAAGTACATAGAAAAAAAAGGAATTTTCTGTCTCTAATTTCAGGTCAGTGGGGGTCAACAGAAACAACGTGGTTGAAATTTACATTTTGTTTAAAAATAGTGCTGTTGTGTAAAAAAATAGTTTCTGATATGCAAATAAGATTATTATAAAAAAGCTATTTC